GTGAGCTGGGTAAGAGCGCAGCAGGGCTGTTCGATTCTGCCACTGTCGTTTCCATTATAAATGCTGGCAGGTATGGATCCTGCTGTTAGATTGGATATAAGGAGGAAATTCTTTCCTGTCAGGGTGGTGAGGCACTGGAATGGGTTGCCCAGGGAGGTTGTGAGTGCTCCATCCCTGGCAGTGTTCAAGGCCAGGTTGGACAGAGCCTTGGGTGCCATGGTTTAGTGTGAGGTGTCCCTGCCCATGGCGGGGGTTGGAACTGGATGATCTTAAGGTCCTTTCCAGCCCAAACCATTCTATGATTCTAGGGCTGCAGTTTATGGTGCTCCTGTTTGGGTGAGGGTGAGCGGGCTCCAGGCTCCAAGGTCTGTTTATGTATCTTCAGCAAGTGTTTAAAATGCTGCAGTGTCATGTAGCTTATTTTGCTAGTGGTCATTAGTTTAATGTATCTTGTACTAGATTTATTAGTGCACACGTGTCGGTATTGCTACACTGATAATGAGTTGCTTGTGAAGTAATACACCACGCTTGTTCATCTCTGTTTATGTCTTTAAAACTGTGTTGTTTCTGGTAGCTAGCTAATTCTGAGCTCCCAGGGCATAATGTAACAATATAGAGAGTGCTTTCAATCTAAATACCTGTTCACAAACTCTTCTTTAACATTGAAGTTCTGACAGATACCTTTTCTGCACTCACAGTGAGGCTGCAAACTGTTAATATCTGCATTAATGTGTGGTTTGTAGTTTGTCAAATCAAGTTTTCTTGTGTATAACTTCCTCTGGCATCTGATTCGAGGAAAACTTGAGGTAGGCTGTTTCCATCTTCCCAGTGGGAGGGTTTTCAGATCGCAAATGAATTCTTCTATATGTGTATTCTTTACAGTGATTCTCTGTAGGTACTTTTGCTTTGTTGCATTCCTTATCAGGATTAAAAAGGATCCTTGTGAGTCAACACTTTTCAAAATGAGCTATTTCTCCTCATGTGCATTCTCAACATGGACCTTGTGTCAAGAGGCTTTTGCTATTCAATGTGTGTTGCAGGATGGGGTGGTCGTTCAACAGAAGTGGGCTCTGTCTCTTCTGACTTGAATTAGCTGCCATGCCTGTGGGAGAAAACCTTGGTATGGAGCTGGGCTGGAGTTTGCTGGGCTGATAGAGGCTGCTGAGGAACCCCTGAGGTGGGAAGGAGAGGGGCAGCAGTGTGTGCTGCACAAGGGGCAGGGGCAGTGACTTGGGACCAGGAACACAGGTTAGTTGTTTGCTCCATTTACAGTCTTTTGCTCCGGTTATTCTGTAGCTTCATGAAATGCTGCAGCATTCAGGCCCTGAGGAATGACAGCAGAGGAGATGTTCATGAAATGTTTTTCCATTTTATTTATTTGTTGATTGTACAGGGAAGAAAACTTAGTGTCTAAGGTTAATGTTTTTAAATAGCAAAGCAACCTTTTGCTCTAAAAGAATTCAGATTCTTTCAGCAGAACCACTCTGTGGTTCAGGCACAGCATTTACAGCAAACTGTGTTTGAATAAAAGTACAATTTTGATATCCCAGCTATTCAAGTAGTAGATTTTTATGGAATTGTACTTCAGCACATGCTCAGCTTTTTTAACAGATGTGCTTTCACACAGCAGAGGGGGGAAGAAACAGAAAAAGTAAGCCTAAAAGAGTGCTTTAAGCTTACGATTTTCAAACTACTTCCTTATTTGAAGATCATTGATTGAACCAGCCCGATTTGATTGCCTCTGGCTTAGTGCTGTGTCATGAACATTGAGCAAGTGCGTTTCAGCTGCTTGTTCAGGAGTTCTTTGCAGGGCAGCTCAGGGAGTTTTCCTGCCGCGGTCCTGTTATCGCGCTCTGAAGTCACTGGGTAGGTTTGTTTGACTTTATTGAGTGAAACATACTGTAGAAAGTATTGATCTGATAAAACTGGGGTTCCATGGATACTCTGGGTATGAAAGAGGAAATATCTCTTCCTATTTTTCCATAGGTAGGACACATTCTGGTGTTTCACTTGGGTCTGCTGCGTGCGTTTGCAGCACATGCAGTGTGATCGTGCAGCGCACACTACATAAAATCATCATGGGTATTGCACACCAGGAGCTGTGATCTGTGTGAACCTCAGCTCCTGATTAATGAGCAGGAAAGTTGAAATAGAAATTAAAGTAAATTAATTGGGTGTGGTCATCCAGCTCCTGAAGGATGCTGGAAATCCCACTGCCCTCCTACTTAGTTGTGATACTGTGGCAGCTTCTGTTGACTCTTTGTAAAGCTCCGCTTAGCAGTATTAAAGAGCAATGCTTCTAACATGCCATCTTGTCCTTATTCTGTAGAGCTATTACATCAGTATTTTATTTTTACTTCCCATTGGAAATGTGAAATTTTTATGTTTGCAGGCTAAGAAAGCTGGGGCTGTTCAGCCTGGAGAAGAGAAGCTGTGTGGAGACCTCAGAGCAGCTTCCAGTGTCTGAAGGGTGCTACAACGATGCTGGGGAGGGGCTCTTCATCAGGGACTGTAGTGATAGGAGAAGGGGTAATGGGTTTGAACTTGAAAAGGGGAAGTTCAGGTTAGATATAAGGCAGAAGCTCTTCCCTGTGAGGGTGCTGAGGCGCTGGCACAGGGTGCCCAGAGAAGCTGTGGCTGCCCCATCCCTGGCAGTGTTCAAGGCCAGGGTGGACACAGGGGCTTGGAGCAAGCTGTTCCAGTGGAAGGTGTTGCTGCCCATGGCAGGGGGTTGAAACTGGATGAGCTTAAGGTCCTTTCCAGCCCAAACCATTCTATGATTCTATGTTTATAAAGGTCCATAGGTTTTGCTCTCAGATAGAAGTAGCCTGGAGTGCAGCTAATATTTGTTGGTTTTTTTTTAAAAGAAGTGAATGCAAAGAAGTTATTGAAATGAGGTGGGCTGGGTGGCTTGAGTAAGCTCATTCTTACTGAGGATGGCAAGGAATGCATTGGATTTGGGCAGTCTGGAAGTTGGCTTGTTTATATCCTCAGCCTTGTGTTTGTGTTGTTCTTACTGGACTTTCCCTTTGTGTCAAAAATTGTTAATTTAATTTGTAAGGGCAGGGAAATTTCATATTTAATCTAGGCAGCTTACAAAACAAGTTTGAGCTGTTAATGAAGCACTTATGCCCTTGAACAGGTAATAGCTTGATGTGGATGTAATTACTGTTTTTTCCCCCACCTTGAATATTAGGTCAAAATGGACTCTGGTTTCTTTCGAAGTTAATGAAGCCAATAGTGAAGTGGGAACGTGCAGTTGCATGTCTTCCTCCTGAGCTACAAAAGGCTTTCAAGTAAGGACATTAAGTTCAAAATTAAGCTTAATTTCAGTCTGTCTTTCTGCATATTAATATAATTGGGCATGGTTGGATAGTGGGGGTTAATGGGGCAAATCTCGAGAACATAACTCATTCAGCTGAACATATCTTCATCAGGTTGCATTTAAAGTTTGCACCTAGTGACCCCCCCCCCCATCTGCACCCCCTTTTTGCTGTCACTCTGTTAATTCTGATGCTGGGTTGCCCAAGAGACCAAGTTATTCCTCAGAAGAAGGGCCCTTGGTGTGCCGTGACTTCAGGCCTTTGTGACTTTGATTCAACACAAGCAGCAGTGGCTTTGGGAAGAGAGAGAAAGCTGTTTGTCGCTTGAAGAGTGGAGTTGTTACCCCCGAAGTCCTGCATAAACTTCTCTGTAGGAAGCTATCCACTGTCTGCTGTGTTTCCCTATAGCCTGACACACAAACATGGGTTTGCTTTGGCTTTGTTTGGGGTTTATACTTTTCTTACAAACTTCTCTCCAGAATGGCTGTGATGCAGAACGTGGCAAATGCCACGTTCCAGAGTAGCTGCTTTGCAGCACTGGGAGGAATGAATCTTGTAAGTAGTGTACATATTTTCACAGACATTAAGCAGTTTAGATGAAAGGTGTTATGACTACCAGATATTATCATTTTATGAGCAGGATGTCATTATTAGATTGGAATTGATAAATGAGTGCCAAATTTTGTGCTTGGTGAGGCTGCTTCTGCAGAGATGCAAATAGTGTGCTTACTCCTACATTAAAGCTCTTTTTCCCCCTTAATTTTAACTAAATGATCTGCAATTCTGGTACACAGAATCTGGCCGAAAATTGAGCAGATTTATTTGGGGTTGCCTCTGAACGCTGTGAGAGTTTAAGCCAGATTTACAGAATATAGTCACTGATGATTCATGTTGAGATGATGTTTTTCTTCCCTGTAATGGAACATATGGGACCACATAGCATATGGTGCTGCTGAAAATTGTTAAATGCAGAGCACTGATTTATTACACAGCAAAAAGAGTTTGGATTTTCAGTCTAACACTGAGCAGAAAGCTTTGTAAACAGCTCTGGCTGCTGCTGTGTGGTGGATGCGCTCCTGTGTGCTAGTGGTAAATCTGCAAAGAATTCCTTTAAGTGAATTAAACTGGGGCTCTTCCAAAAGTTGTGGATGTGCCTGTTGCCCTGGAGTGAGTATGAGAACTCATTGGGTGTTTCATTAAACATCTAGATGGGTTTTTTTGTCTTTACAGGACTTCTGGAGGGGTTTTTGTGGTGAGGCAGGTGGAGGAAGAAAACTTAACACCTTGATCCTTCCAGAGCACAAGGGAAAGCAGTAAAGTGCAGGTACAGAGAGCATAAGTACCTATTTCCTTGTGCTCTCCTGTGTTTCTTAACTATTCATCTTTTAGATGATGATAATCTCTTCAGAGCAGGCATCACTGCTGTTGTGGCTTTGTAGGTCTTACTGAAGCTCACAGGTGCTGTAGTAATATAGATAATAAACAGTTGTTCATAAGGGTACATTGAGTAAGCTTTATCAAAAAGGATTTAAGCAACAACAGGAACCTTCATTTGAAACTTAGAATGGGGTTTGTCTTGTCTAGTAAAAACTTGACTGCAGTTTATTTGTGAACAGTAAAGCCCTGGTTAAAACAGATTTATGCCAAATTTGGTGGTACTTTTTGGTGGTAAGAAAGTATGGAAGTCCTCTCTTAACTTTCAGGTTTTTGCATAACAATCAGGTGAGTCTTATTCTTGGTTTGTGACAATGTGCCTTTCAGTTCAGGGCTTCTGGTGTGTTTCTTGATGCTTCTTTTGACTGGTTCAGGTAAAGGTTATGCTGTATCCTTAAGGAAAAAAGTATGTGACAGCGTAAAAATGTGCTGTTCTTTAATAAAAGGAAGTAGTATCTATTGCTGAGGGAATTAACTAATGACCTCTTGTTGCCATCGCCTTCAGGATCTTAGATCCTCCCTTCGCTTGCCTCATTCTTAGTCATAGATTGGAAAAGGAAAACAGGCTGTTTTTTCTCCCCTCCCAACTCTTGAGCAGTTTCTCAACTTCAGATGACCTGATCGTTGTCCTAAAGCATGCAAATGAACTGAAATCAAGAAAATCCTCCCTTTCCACTCGCAGAATATCTTAGTCTTGAATGAATTTAACTATTTAACTTATTTTTAATCTGAACGTTGTTTGTCTTGTCAGTTTTAACAGCAAGCCCCTTTCAAAAGGGGGGGGGGGGGGGGAGACACACGACATTTCTTATCTGGGAAGTATGCGAGTGGCAGAGCAGATAAGATAATGGAGCCCTAAATGTGAGCTGGGATGGAAACAGTCTCTGTTAACAGGTCTCATCCGCTTCGCCCCAGTCAGGCGGTGCTTTACTGCATACTAATGGAACCAGTTTTGGCATCCTGGGGAGAGCGCACTGAGTTTTTCACTCTGCTGCTTCTGCATGAAGCGGCCTGATCCTGAAGTGGGAGAGCCTCATGTTTTCATACCCAGGAGTTTTGGGTCATTTGGGAAGCAGACAGCCAAAATCAGGTGGTTTTTATGTACCCATAAAAAAGCCTCGAATCACATTTTGGTGCTCCACTGAGGAACAGAAATAAAAGAAACATTCCAGCTCCTTGTTCCATTCAGGTAGCTGTTTCTCAATTTCTTGTGTGCATTTCCGTGTGGTGTCTTTTCTCTCTGGAGGATCCCCTTGGAAGATAACAAGCTTTCCATTTCCAGCTCTTCCCAGAGACTAAAAGATCCTGTTACAGTTGTAATAGGTTGTGTGTTTCAGCAGTTTGATAATGGCCCGGGAAGGTGGCAGGTAGTAATGCAGGTATCTAAAACCAGAATAACTAACTACTGGCATTACTTTTTTAACCTCACAAAGTCTTTGTTCACTTTTACTCTGCTTTTGCAATTTTCTGTGTTGTATTTTAGGGGGTTGCCTTGCCAGGAATATGTAATTTCAAATGAAGTTAGACTCTTACAGAAGCACGGGAGAGGCTTTTTTGGTTACAAAATCAGTATTGGGCTTAGTATTTTGCTGCAGGAAATGTAGTCCAGGAATTAACCCTGCTGCAGGTGTTGGAAGCTGTAATGCAGAAAAGAACCTGCTTCTTTTTAGCACTGTATGAAATAAGTCAAAATACATTGAACTCGTGCATTCGAGAGCAGGAGAAATTGCAAGTAAATGTGTGATAGCCAATAGCAGCAGTTCAGATCATAAAGGCTGACTAAAATGCTCCGAAATCGAGGTCTGTTGGGGCTCTTTTCTGTGTTTCATGCTTCCAGCTGCATGTTACAGTGAGGTTTCTGCCGGGCTGACTATGATCATTTAGTGCCTCAGAATAAAGTAGCAGCAAGTTGCTGACTAAGGCTTGGTTCTTTTTCCTGCTACCTGAGTATTTTAGAACAGCATTGTTTGTATTTTTGAGCAGTCTTCCTATTTCTTGATGCGCTGAGCCCAAACCAGCCAGCGGTGGTCAGATGAGGTTGTGGTCTGATCTGTTGCACAGTTTGGATCGGATTCAGGTTCTGGAGACATCCAGAGAGACACAGGGACAAGAACCCCCAACTAGTAAGCTGGTGACTGGAGCCCCAGGCTACCAGTGCAGCTCTGCTGGTGTTTTAAGGTCAGCTCCTTGCAAATATTTTAGGCAGGCTTATATTCAAATGTTATTTATAAGACCAGACTAATTTCTTTCTTCATAATGATGGCCTTTTGGCTGATGACAGGGCTGGAATCTGGAAGATCTGGATTCTGCATGGCACTAGTCAGCTGGGTATCCACAGGGAAGTCGTTTGCTAGCTTTCGCCTCAGTTTTTTATCTGTATTTAAATGAAAGGAGAAAAAAAAAAGGTTGAGTAATCCCTGCTTCACAGTGCTCTGAGAGCACAGTTAGTAGCCTCGTGCTGCGAGATCTTTGGGAAACACTATAGGAATGTTCAAGGGGCTTATTATGGTTAAGGCCCTCGCAATGAGAGAACTGGTTGTGCCTGGGTTATTGTTAGACCATTCATTAAGGAGCTTTAATAGCTTCAGCTATGATAGGAGCTGTTCCTGGCTTCACCTGCTATTACCCTGGGTAGATACAGGCTGCTGCAGTACTGGAGCAGAGTGCTCTGGAGCAGAACTGGAGCATCTGCATTCATTGTTGGAGTCTGCCTTGAGCATTTCATTTCTGCTTCATGGCTGGGTTTGCATGCAGGTCATGCTGCAGACTGAGTGGATTTTGGCAGTTTAGCAGCATGATGATTACTTATTCTGCCACTGGTGAGCCCTTAGCACTTTCTTGCCAAAAGAATAACTATATATTCAGCTGAAATTTCCCTGTGTATCTGCCTGGCTCTTTTAATCTGCCCTGTTTGCACTTTGTAAATTGAACTAAATGTTAAAATATAGTAGGCAAGAGACATTTTAGAGCACAGTATTAGAATCAACCACATTGGAAAACACCTTTAAGATCATCAAGTCCAACCTTTACCCCAGGAGTCCAAATCCACCACAAAACCATGTCACTAAAAGTGTATGAAAAGGTGTAAACCAAATGTTAAAAGCCTCTTAAGGTTTGGTGATGTTCAAGCTCTGGTTGTCTTTTGAGAAGCTGTGAAACTTCTCTGTGAATGCTCATGTCACAGTTGTTAAAACCTCCTTTGACAGCATGTTTATAAAGTACCTGTTAGAATTTGATCTTCTGGCCAGCAGTTAGGCAAGAAAAGGAGAAAAAAACTGTTTTAGGAAAGACATGGTCTGGGTATCAGGGTTTTCTAAAACTAAACCTTGTCATTAGCAGTGGTACCTCATTACACTTTAATGACTCTCAAAACTCAGCAGTGCCACACTCGTACTTGAAAGTCAAGATATAGCCTTGACAACTGAGGTCTAAATCCAGCCACTTTCATTTGCCTTTGGAGTTTCCTCTCTTCATGATTGTATCAGTAAGTTGTTTTCTATGTCTTGACAGATCTGAAGTGTATTGACTGAAGGAAAAACACAAACTCGGGTTCCTGTTGAAACACAGGGCTTGAGGAGGTTGGGATCAGGGGTTTGGGAGCATGGAATCAATTGTGAATGAACAGGAATTTTAAGGCGACTTAAACCCAGCTGTTACTTTGGCCTCTGCTTCCTCCCACCTAGTTGAGTTGGCACAGACCTTTAGAGTGTGATACAGGTGAGAAACTGATCCAGCTGCAGAATAACTACAGAGGTAAAGGCAGAGGTCTGGGGTAGGGACAGATGGGGAATGAGGATGGGGCTGGAAGGCAGAAGCTTCCCACTGAGGAAGTAGGGGCAGCACCGCTCAGTTACACTGTGAGTTGTCTTTCTTACAAAAATAAAGCACTATCTATCACAAAACCCATTGTGCAGTTTAAGTTAACGAGTAAACCGGCAAGTTTCACTTTCTGTTTCCTGTGCCCTGGTTGGTTCTAACAGCACTTGTGTCTTCCCCTGCAGTTTGGAGCCCAAGGTGATGTGAATCACACTTCAAACATCTCCTTTCCCTGTGTTTTACCTTATTTTCTGACCAGTGTTTTAGGGAACCCAAGTTTGGTGCTTTTCATTCTTTGCACATGCTTTTACTTTAAAATGGGTCTGTGTTTTAGATATGTGATACAAACAAGGAAAGACTTTGTGAGAGGTCGATGTATTTTGCTGTGTATTAGTTGTTATGTGTGGGCTATAAAACACACTGAACGATATCCCTGCTTTAAGAAGTGGGGGGAAAACCCGAAGCAGAATGCTTGTCTCATAGGCACTGAGAATACTGACTGGAAGGTGATGCCATGTAAGCAAATGGGTGTTGCCAGACACAAAGGTTTATTTTCTACCCAGATATGCGGCTGTAAAACGTCTGCTTATGGCACCCTATGACAGGAATCATATGAAGGTGAAAAGTTATTTCTTAAGTCCTATTTATTCTTGAGAATTACTTGCAGTGTATAACCAAGAACCTACAATTAGACTGGGAAGCACCAATGCATGCTAATTTTCTTCAAATGGACTGTTTCGTTAATGGAAATGAGGAAAGTTTCTGTTTGCTTGCTTTCTTCTCGGCAAATCTTTAGTTGAGCTGAGCAGTGCAGCACCACAGAGACATTCCCGAGCACTGCTGAGCTTCCAAAGCCATCCAGGGAACTGGAACCGTGATGATGGCTTCTGGTGGCAGGGCCTCCCCATCCAAAGGACATTTGCAGCTGCTCTCAGTGAAGTTGTGGGTAAAAGTCTCAAGGGTGCATAGAGAGGAAGTCAGAGAACTTTCATGTTCATGATCTCTGTCTTCCTGGTTGCCTTAAACAAAAAGGACAGCTTCATCTGTGCCAGCATTCATAAGTTAAGAACACTTGTGAAGCTCAGCTGGGTGTCGGGATGAAATTCCCTGTGCTTTCGTACTCCTGCAGCTCGGAAGCTGTGTGGGAGCTGGTGAGAGTGTGGATGTGAAGAGGTATCTTCATCTTGGCTGCCTGGCAGGAGGAACTTCCTAGTGCTGACGTTGCAGAACCACAAGTGTTTGCTAGTACTATTAGTAGAAGGGGGATGGAGGGTGGAATCTACCTACCTCCAGCTAAGGTCTGACTTGAGAGGGCAGTGCAAAGCTCAGGATGACCTAATGAAGCGGATGGCAGTCACGGGGGGTCTGTCTTGGTTGGAACAAGAAGCAGGAAGAGTGGTGGTTGGGTTGGTTTTTAAAAGCTAGGGTATTTAACCCTGGTTTTTTTGCATGTTGGTGGTTAACTGGTGCCCATTGCATGCAGTAAGGAAGGTTTTGGTTACTGGTTGGGTTTGTGGCACACCCTGCCCAGGCTGCTGGGCCCCATGGGGCTGTGTTCTCTCTGGAGGTGGGTTAACATGAGCTGTGTGACCTGGAGCCATCTCAGTGGGTTTCCAGTTGCTCTTTTTTGTGCCAGGGTATCAGTAGAGCACAAAATCTTTTGGATAACTGTGGTGTCATTTATTCTGTCTTAGGGGGAGCTGTATATGATGTGGAGGGGGGGTTATATTCCTGTATTGGTGTGTGCTGCCCTTTGTTAGGGCAGCTCAGAGGAGAGCACTGCCTTTTTAGTGGAAGCTTCCAAAGACTTTGGAGGGTCTTTGCTGCTTTTGTATATATCCCTCTCATGTCCAGTGCCACCTTTTGAGTGGGGCATCTGCACAAGGGAGTTTTACTTCCGTATTTTCCTAGGTTTCCTGTGTTTTTTCTCCTTCACTCACTATCCCTGTCCTCCTTCATGCTTCACGTTTGAAAACAAAGATCAAATACACCTCAAATATTCTCCTTAAAAGGCTGCATGTTTAGAGGGGGTTGATCCCTGTGTGATGAACGTGCTGATGTTCTGCAGTGAGGTTTAATGACACATCTGGGTGGAGGGAGCAGACCTCAGAAACGAAAATTGCTTTTCTATTTTATGAGCAGTCAGGACACTTTGGCATGAAAAGCAAAATGGAAGTGGAGTATATTAATTGTCTTTTTTTTTTTTCCTCTTAACCACTTGTACCAGGAGCTTATTTTATGTAATTACTGGGGTGTGACTTTAAATCCTGGGCAGGACTTTGTGGCTTGTTTAACATCAAGTGCAGCTTCTGATGTTGCAATGAAGAAGGAAGTGTGCGTGTGCTTGGGGAGGGGGACAAAGCAGCACTTCTGCCTCATTGCATAAGGTGGGAACTGCAGCTGCCTGGTTATTTTTAGCTCCCAACTCTCTCATTGTCAATGTGAATCTTTTTGTCTTTTTCCTTTCTTTTTAATCAGCATATTTGGTAAATGGAGTTGTTGGTTACTGTGCTGAAGACTCTTCCGCACCAACATGCACTACACATCGATAACTTCTTCCCCCCAATTTAATTCATTGCACACAGAGCTCTTTTGAGAGCCCCAGAGTGGCAGGACTGTGTGTGATGCATTTCACAAGTATCTGTTTGCTGTTGATGTTTTACAGCTGTACATCCGTAGCTTAGAGTATAAGCAGAGTAGGGATCTCCAGGAAAGGGGAGACTCTGTGGATCTAGATGGAGAAACAAGAGCTTAATTAAAGGAAAAAAAAAATGGATGGGTTTGATTATTTTTTTAATCCATTTTGATTATTTATTATCTATTTTGATCAATGCTTCTTAGTGATTTTTCTCCCCCCTTGCAAAAAACATGCAACAATGTGTTCATAAGGACGTTTTCATGGGTAGGAGGGAGAGGCAAAAGATAGCATCAGTTTCCATCAGCGTGTTTTCCAGTCACTGGCTGTAGCAGTGATGCAGTTTTGTTGGGTGGCTCATCCTGAAGAGGCACATACAGAATGTTTCCATTTTAAGCTCTCCAGCACACAAAGTCTGTTGGTTTTTGCCACAGTGGGTGAGCTTTTCTTCCTGGGATCAGGTTTGCTGCACTGGCCTGAACTCTCCACCCTCTGACAGCTCTTGGTGTGCTGTCAGAACACGGAGGGAAGAAGCTGTTTCAGCCAATGAGCTTCAGGGTTGCTGATCTGAAAATGCACTGTTTAACAAGTTTTCCTGGCTCCCTGCCTCTTCCCCCCATGTTAGATGCCACCAAAACTCAGCATTCCCTAAGTGAAGTGCTCAGCCGTGTATTAGCATTAGTAGTGTCTATTCCAAGCTTGCTTAAAGAAAGCAAAGGAAGCTTTTCATAGCTGGAAACCCTCTGCCTGCCACAGTGAGTACCATGAGTCGTGCGTGTGTGTGTTTCTGTATCCTCCAGCCTGTGGTAACAAGAGAGAGCCTGGGCATCCTGAGTTGGCTCCTGGTGTTTGAATAGGCCCAATTGTGTTGATGCTGCTTCTGAGGAGTAGCTGTGAACCCAGAAAGGCTTGTGAGCACCATTGGGAGTTCCTGTCTGTATCTGCTGCCCTGTCACAACAGCTCTTCAATCCAGCAGTGATCAGAAGAGGTGAAAACTTTCTGTGTGCAGTGGAAGGTACCCTGCTATAGTTTTAGGTGTGAAGGAGCAGAGGTAGATATGGCTCATGGTAACCTTTAATAGTGTGGTGCTGGCATCACAGTGAAATGCTGCCATATTATCGTAGAATGGGTTGGGTTGGAAAGGACTTTAAGATCATCCAGTTCCACCCCCCTGCCATGGGCACTGGGGTACCGTTTCCATCCTTATTTACTCTTAATGTGTTTTGGGATTACTTTAATGCTGCATTAAGCTGTCTCATGCTGTCTGGCTGTGAAAGTCTGAACACTGACAGTCTGGAGCAGGGTTTCTTCTCTCAGGTGAACAGGTACATTCTAGGTATTGTCTTCCTCTGTGTCAGTCTTGCTGGTTCTGCTGCTCTCGCTGTCTTTGTCTTTCCTCAAAGATCATTTCATTCCCTGAGCTCATGTTAGGCTCCATCAGCCTTTGCAGATATGTTTGTGGTGGCTCTTTTGTGTCTTTGTGAAGAGGCTGCATTGAAGTCACTGTGTCTGATAGCAAATGAGAGAGACCTGATGGAGAATGCTTTCAATTACTGCTCTAGAAGGACATACAGGGCCAGGAGGCATTTCCATGCCAATAAGTGCAGGAGTGTATGTAACAGTAGCTAAATTCCTAAACTGTAGCAATTCCAGAATATTTATACAGTAATCTGGGCATATTCCACTGTTTTCAGAAGCAGCTTTAAAATTGCATCCTCCCTCCTTAATTCTGTGCCAAATGATGCATTTACTGAATTGAAACAGAAACCTCTGGTTCAAAAGGGAATCTTGAACCCACGTGTAGGACTGGCAGGTTTATCTGCTGAAGTGTGTAACTTACAGCAGGTAGTTAAGCAGCTCTGCTGCCTGTCTTGGGACTGACTTAAGCCCAGATCCCAGCCTCTCAAAGCTTCCAAAGACACCTGCACACCAGAGGACAAACCAAGTTTTGCTGTGCAATATGTGTAAATAGCTTCTGAGCACTGGAACATTGCTGGCCTCTAATTAATTTTATGATGATTTGATTTGCTGTCGCAAATGTGCTTCAGATGATTTCAGTGGCCTTTCCTTTTTGTGCTGCTCATCTTGTTCCTCATCCTTAAAGTCCTTGTGCCCTGGCTGTCCCTGTTTCGGAAGACAGAACAGCCTTTCGAAGGACACTTTGGTTTCTGTCTAGCCTTTAGACTCTACCAAGTTTGTTTAGCACTTGTCTTGGGTAACCCTTTGAGATTAACACAGCATTTGGTGTTTGTTTTGACTGTTCATTTATCTCACTTTTTTATAAGTCCTGTTTTTTTGGTGATGGATGATAAGGATGGGAGGATTAGGATGTCCCTGGAGCCTCAACTTGGAGTGCTGCACTTCAAGGTACAGGCTTGGATTCTTTTTCCCTTAGGCTTTGTGTTGAGCGTATGATTGTAAGGACTATAATGGGATGATAGAAATGAAATAAATGATTAAATGTCTTATTTAGATGTGAAGTGACGTTGCTGCTTGAACTTCCCTTAGAGCTTCAGGGTATGGGCCCATCTTTGGTGATAAAATCCTCATAGTTCTGCTTGTGGTAGTGGTGGGGCTTCCTCTGCTCGGCTCATTTATGAACTTTTAAGCTTGACACTGACATTTCAGTTGCAGGTTTGAAACTATTTTACACTCTGCAAGTATAAACATCCCTGGTCATATTTACAGTGTAGTGGTTGGTTGATAAATACACCCATGGTGAGCTGTGGGGTGATTGCCTGCTGTGTTATTCTTAACATGCCATGGAAGTGCTTCTGGCTTCCTGAGTAACACTCATACAGCAATAATGTACGTGAAATGTGTCTTAAAACACTTTTAAAACGCCAGTGCTCATATTCAGCTGTTGACTGCATTGAGGAATGATGCAGTGCTGAGAGTTGGTGGTCTTTGAATTGAAGGATTCATGCAGATGCACTGGGTTTTTAAGAGCATTTCGAAGCTACATGTTCTGCATGTGGATAATAGGGTGCCTGAGTTGTACTTTATGGAGAAGACCAGCTTGAACCTGCTTATTCATGCAATACCAGCACAGGTAAAATCTTTGGGTCCTCCCGTTATCCAGACAAAGTGAATATACAGCTACAGTGTAGGATTCCTGATGCCTGTTGGTGTCATTTATCCTAGACTTACTGAGCTCTTCCTGCATGAGCCCCTCAGGGATGCTGTGCTGTGTGAGCACTGTCAGCTGGAAATGACATTGGAGCAACCACATCACTAAATGGATTCTGTAGATGTTCTTCAGGTGGAACTTCTCTTGGTGGCTGACATCAGTGTTTCTGCTTGGAGGCGATGCCCAGCCTCAAACCTTCTTGGTTCTGGAAAACCAGTTCTAGTGAATGGGGGGAGCCTCCATA